AAGGGGAAGGGGCACTGGAGGTGAAAAACAGCCGAGAGATTACAGGATGAAGTTGTCCCATAGAGCATTTTGTACCCATAGCGGGCAGAAGATTTGGTTCTTACCGTGGGTACAGTGCTCCTTTAGTTTCAGTATTTAAAATGCTGATATCTGAATCTTGGGACCTGCTTGGAGGAGTCAGCACCCTGTTCTGATAGCAAATGGCTGAAGTTCACACTGCCTGCAACAAGGCACAGGGCCTTCTCCAGCACAGGCTTCAAACTGACAAATGCTGGGTTTGTGGGGCTGGCCAGTGACTGATAGGAAGGGAGATGCACTTACTCCCACCGGGTAAACGTGCTCACGTGACAATTCACCACTACACTCAGATTCAGATTAAAGAGAAGCAATATAGTTAAACTTACCTGGAAAAGCATTATTTTGGTGTTGACACATAGGCTACGACAACAAGGAAAAATTTTTTCCAGTAGCTTCAGGGCTAAAAAAATCCCACCATTGTCACCTACCTGCCAGCTGAGAGGTTATCTACAACTGATGTTGAAAGTGTTGCTACTTTTCTGCTCTCTTCCTATAGAGAAGAAAGTTTACTTCTGTGGAAAATATTGAAAAGCTTATGCCAGCCTAAGACATGCAGAGGCCAATAAGGTCTACCAGCAGGCCCTAATACACTACCATTCCCCACAGAGCTGAGCTCACCTACCCTACCTTCTTTCCAGCTTGTTTGGGGCCCAGTGAGCTACCAGTTGACATATCTGTATGCAGCTCCAGTCCCAACATGCAAAACTGCTTGGGGCCAAGCAGCTGACAAGAATAGCTAACAGCATGGTACTAGCACACAGTCAGTGTCATTTTCACATGAGCTGCAAAGAGCCCCTTGCATTTGGGCTCTTTCTAGAAGAGGTATACAGTCCCAAATGAATAGGTTCTGACTGGAATGGGTTTCCTTTCCTTCTCTGGTTCTGAAACATCTACTAAAGCCTTCCAGCAACTTCAACAGCATTCAGCCTTTGTTATGAAAAGGGTTAAAAGTCTATTTCTCTTCCCTTAAGAAAGATTAAGCCACTGTTCACCAAATGTTGTTGGCAGAAGGACTTCTGGCATTCTGGATTTAGAATGGTCCGCACTAAAACAAAGTTTAGCTCACTACAGGGGCAAAGTGACCTAGCTGCTCATTGGATTTGTTTGAATTTTTATTTTTGGCAACACTTTCCATAATGGATAAAGTCTCTGGCCTAAATCATTTAGCTATGTTGTTGTTCTTGCAGAAGTATATTTGCTCACTGCAGTAAGTGAAAAGTATAAACAAAGTACTAAAATAGCAGTTTTCTACAAAAAAGGCATTTCCAAACACTTCATAACTCCCTTTCAGCTAAAGGGAAGTTGTGGATCAAACTTGTGCAGTCTGAAAAAATAGGTTTAACTTATGAACCATAAACTTTGTTCATAGTATGAGTTTAATAAGGTTTTCCTGTGCTAGTGATACATTTAAAGTGTAAATGCTGGGATTTTTTAAACATATCATTTATTTGATATAATGTTGCTAGTATTCTGCTTAAGAAACCAGAGCTGCGTCATTGTAGACTTCAATTGAGAAAGGTTAAACTGATATGAAGTGTCCCTAAGAGCAATGACAAGTTAGCTGAAATCAGCCATTGTGTTTCTGCCTTAATGGGTTTCAGCCCAGAGTAGGAATGTTTGCAAACTTGTTTGCTTTTAGCAAAATGAAGACTCTAAGTGTTCACACAATGACAAGGACTGACTTCCTCTAAGGAGTCATTACATTTGCTTTGGATACCCTGTGTACTTGGCTAGAAGTGAGAGTTGCTGTAATGGGAACGTCAGAATTATCTCTGGCTGCCATTTCCTCAAGTATTACTGTTTTTAGGAGTTTCCCCCTGTGGTTTTCCTCACTGGGAGTTATTTGCAGCAAGAAGCATCCCATCCAGTGCCTGCCTTGGCATGACATAAGCAGTTTAAGATGGATGAAAGTGTTGGAGGAGAGAGACAGTGTGCTTTGTTTGGCCTCATCCTCTGCCCTTCACCCCTGTCCACTAGACTCTGTCTATTAATCTTGTATGGCTTCTGTTCATTAGATCTTCCTTTGAACACTGTTGGGTAAATTAACTCTGGGAATTAGCATTTAGTATCATATTTATGGTTCAGTTGGAGTGCTGTTTTCCATCATACAAAGGTATCCCTTTTGAGGGGAGAAGGGTGAGGACTATTTGTTTCATTTTCAGTAGAAGCAGTTTTGATGGATTAGTTCAGCACCAGTTTATGCATTAGTGTAGCTTCAAAGTACTAAGAGCAAAAGCTTTAACACATGCCTTTACTACTATAGGTCTGTAGCTAACAGAAATTAGTTCAGTTTTCCTAGCACTGAGAAAACAAGCATTAAATCTTGCTCTCTATACACCTATGAGTATGGAGTCATACTGAGTTGTAGAAGGAGCAGTATATATTACACATATCAAGTAACCTGCTCAAGGCTGAGGAATGTTTTTAGAACAAAGTACTTCCCATTTCATTGTTACTCACTGCAGAGGTGCAGAGTCTTCCAAATAACACAAAATGGTATTTAAAAGGTATTTTAGGAAGAAATAACTAGAGGTAGAGTTACAGTGAGGTAGGATAGAGAACAGCAGTACAGTACATTATTTATCAGCTATTGAAGCATTGCCTTCCCACTTCCCTGTAGCAGAGATCTCAGTTTTCAGCTTTTGTATTGTATTTTTAGAGAAGAGCTCCAGCTAGCATTTTAAACATTTTTTGATACTCACCAAGAGAGATAACTTTTAGATATTTTGACAATTGGCATTTAAACTAGCATCCAATGGCCGTTATAAGTTTCATTACTAATGTAAAGCTTCCTTTATGTCCTTCAAATGGTACTCAGCTTGGGAGAGAACTTAGAGGTACACCATAAACGAAAAATAGTTTCCAGGCTTCAGGAATGGGAAGAGTAATGAACTTCTCTTACTTATAGTAGCTTACTACCTGACATTGGCTATTAGTTATTCAGCTTTTGAAATTGATTATCAAATCTAATCATTCTATCACCTTAGCCATCTGCAGCAACAGGTTGGGGTTGTCTTTAAGTAGAGAATACCATTTTTGTATATTTAATGGCTAGAAATAACTACTGAGCTTTATTGCACCATTTTCACTACTCTCCCAGACACCTAGCCTTTCTAGAGAAAATGTCCTATTTATTTTTACAGAGAAATATTTCATCATGCTTCCGGGACCGAAGCAAATGCATCCACCCATGACACCATATCTATAATGGCACTGCAGCACATACTCTTACCACATAGTACAGGTCTACATTGCATGCAGGAGTTTATTCCAATTCTGCAAATGGCCACAGTCTCACATCTGCACAGATAAAACTAACATCTCTACTGTTTTCCCTTGGTTTTAGACAGCTTCCCCTGCTAATATGTTCAATGTATGAAATGTGCATGCATGTTAACAGTTACCTGTTAACAATAGTCTTTTCTTTTGCAATTGGGAAGGACTCCAGGTAGTGTCAAAGCAAAGTTTAAAGAGTTTAAGACTGCCAAGCATAAGACGGTAGAGTAATTTTTTCATCATCTGATTACTGAACTGAAGGTTACTTCAGACTTAGAGCACTCAGCTTTTTCTGAGCAATTATACTAGCAGCAAGACTCCTATTATTACAAGACTTAGTCTTTATTCTTATTCAGTTTAGCACACTTCTAATGCAGGCAAGAGGTATTTTCAATTCTCTTCATACTTGTTTTCAAGCAGGTTTTATTTAGAGTGCATTTATCATTGCAGTAATGTAGTGATTAGGGATTTCTGCTTATTGCAGTCACCAAGGGACCAGAATGGTCTTTTTTCTTTCACTTAGGACTTTTCCTAATGAAATCATGAGTTCAGGTTATAACTAAAGCTTAAGTTGCATAATCATGGATACTGATTTCTGTGGTTTTTTTAAAGCTTGCAATTGAGAAATAGGAAGCTAGTTTAACTGTTACTGACTTGGAAGGAAAATTCTGATGAGTAAGAACTTATACAACATTCCTAGTAGGGGAGAGTATAAACATTTACTGGGAGCTTGTCTTGGCCTGTAAAGCAATGGTAATTATAATAGCTTCTCAGGTTAAGTATAGAAGCAGGGCTTTATGCATTAGTACACTGTGAAAGATGGGGTATTCTCGCTTCTGTCATGCAATCATCTGTACTGATGAGTAGGTTGTAAGAAGTACTTTGGGTAAAAGCTGCATAAAAAGTATTTAACGGTTACGTGGTGGCTGTTACCATGCATTATTACATACATAAGGTTGCTGTTGATCAAGCTGTAGATTTGGTTTATTGAACAAAAGCAGCCACTAGTCTATGCAGCTGCATTACAAAGTGTTTAGGAGTCCCCTGTTCTTTTCACTGCAAATCAGGACTTCAGATGAAGTCTGCGTTTGTTACATCAGCTAGGGGGAAAATACTGATGAGGCATATACTGCTCTTCCAAGACTTGTGGTGCTCACTGTTCATAACTAGCATGTCCTAGAACACTCAAGGTAACTTTATCACCCCTTGTTTGTATTATGCATGCTTTTTACCAGAGAGTGCACCTACAGCAGCTGCTAGCAGTGCTGAGCCTTACTCTAATATAAATCCAAGTCAGCAGCACTTTTGCAATAGAATTTTTATTCTTTGGCAAGTTGTTCAGTGAGCCTGTATAGAGATTGGGAATCTGTTCAAGAAAAGCGTCTTTAGGCAGTGCAAGATTTTAGAGACCAATATTTTGGAATCAGGTCTACATAAAAGAAGCTAGAGTGTTGAGTTAACAAAGCTAAAACAGAACATACAGTCTGAAATCACTTCGAATGCAAAAAAAATCCTTTCCTTGAATCATTGCTGCCGCAAAGCAAGTATAGATTTATTGTAACTAAAGGTTACTGTACCACTTCAGAAAGTTAGTACTTTATACTTTGCCAAAGCCTAATAACTTACATTTTTCCTATCTTTTTCAGATGGAACAGATAAAGAGGGCAAATAAACTGTTCACAAATGACTGTATATTTCTGAGGAAAACCCTGAATATTCCTGTTATATCAGAGAAACCATTACTGTTCAATGGACTTAATTCACTGGAATCTCCCGAGAATGAAACTGTTGACAGCTCCCCTCCTTGTGATGAAGGACTAGTGACAGTTCAGGAAGAAAGTAGTTCTTCTCCCAGTCCTCAAGAGTCTGACAGTCAGCCCACTGCACCAGAAGAACTATCTGCCAAAGATTTCCTACAGAGATTGGACTTGCAGATTAAGTTATCCAAACAAGCAGCCAGAAAACTAAAAGATGACAATGTCAGGTAAATGCCGCTTTTAGTATTAAGCGTGTTAATCTCATCCTGGAGGCTTTTTAGTCTAAGCTCAACCCTCTTTGTGGGATATCTCCAACAGCATCTGTAGTTTTAATTTGTCAACAGCAAGTCTATGCTATTATCATGCACCAGATACATTCAGAGCACATCATTAGCAGATGCCTTGATATGGCAGGTATAAAGGCTGCCTCACAATACATTGTTTATGGAATAGCAATAATATTCCATGAAAGCTAAAAGGCCAGTATTCTCCAAGATGTCATGCTGTGTAAGCAAGAAATTATTTAAGCAAACCCATAATTTTCAGTAGAGTACTAAGCCAAGGCCTATGGGGAAGCTGACTGCATATAGCAAGGCATGATTGCATTTTTCTTCTGTCCCAAATTGCCTCATAATTGCCACTTCAGTTAAACTATCCTATCTCCTTTCCCTATACAGTCCCTCCCTTTGTGGATCCACCTATGGAGACAACTGATCTTTTCTTCAGTATTTCTTCTACAGCCAGGAACTCCCACACACTTTACTCACAGAAAAAGCAGTACCTTTTGACCCCTCTGCCACAGTGATTATCCCCTCACATGTGTAGGCATCCCATGGAGAGTACAGAAAGACTTAGAGCAAGAATGGTCTTCAGTAGTGTTCGTTTTCCCATATCCTTGGGACAAGCTTCTTCAGCTTGTTCACAAGCATTCTCTTGGGCTGGTTATCTGGCTGGTTTATCATCTGCAAAAATTGCCTCAGTGAGTGATGCCAAGGTGACCTGTCTCATGACAATAAAAGGTATGACTGCAGGGGACTGATTTTGCTTCTCTTACCAGAGCGCCTGGGAGAGGTCATACCTGCAGATACATACCTTGCTTTTGCAAATGCCTTTAATGCAAAACTTCTGACATCATCGTGGTTCACTTCACATACTCTGATTTTGAGTGCAAGCAGTATACTTCTCATGTTAAGACAAAAGTAACCTTTTAGGACCAAGTCTGTTGGGCAGAGTCCCATCATTTCTTTAAGAAGTTAAGAGATTATGTCAACAACTTAAAAACTTCATTCACTAGACAAAAGTTTGAGGGGGAGCAGTATATTGCATTTAGCAATTGGACAAGACTCATTTGAAGAAATATCCCATAAGTCAGCTTAAGGTAATTCATTACCTACTGCACTCCACATAAAACTCTCCACTGCCAGAAGGACACTGGTTTAGAGTTACAGTCTCAGGGAAGGCTGAAACACTTTCACATCTGTTAACATACTTGTCAATTATTTTCTTTTGAATTGATTACATGAAAGAGGAAAAATAGCTGCTGGAACTCAGATCCTTCTCTATTCAAACTCATTCACTTGCATTGTTGTATTTGAAACAATGTAGAGCATCTATCAAAATGTGCCAGTGCTGACTCTCAGATCATTAGACATATGTATCTGACACAGATTAGAGTAGGTGTTGACCCAGCAGTTAAGCTGGGTGGCAGGAAACCCACAGTTCCTGCCAGAGGAAGGCAATTATTTTACCATCTTTTCAACAAAATAACATGCTAACTTACAGAAGGAAATTCACTTAGACCTTGTTGCATCATGAGCAGAGCCAATACAGCAAGAGTGACACCACATAAATAGTACAGTACTACTACTAATACCCATTTCCTATATTGCTATATTGCTTAAGTTACAACTTGGGAAATGAGGGCCTGGTACCAAATTTCCTCCCAAGAAATAATGGCTACAGGAGGATGAATTGCTTTCCCACCTCCTGTTGATATTTAGCAGGTAATTTTGTTAATTGTGCATAGAGCACAGATTTTTATTGGTCATGATGCTACAGGAAGCTTGAAGTACAGCGCCGCAGGCTATCTGCTGAGCAGGATGTTATCCAAAGCTTCTGAAGAGCAAAGTTTCCTGTATGTCTGATAAAGTCTTCATAATGTCACCTTCCACCTCACCACCTCTGGCCTTCAGTCATGGCTCACAAAAGCCATCCTTGCCTTATCTTCTCCAGTTGTGTTCACCCCTTTATAGTCTGACAGACAGGAAGTGCCAGAGGACCAAAGTGAACCTTCACAGAGAGTTTGCTGAATGTTTACTCCTTGCAGAACGCAGGAGTAGAGGGAGACCACTGCCAAAAACCCTGGAGATATTTTCAGCTGTGAACTATCAATGCTACTTCTGGGCCCACACTGTAAGGTGGCAACATCCCTTACTCTACTCCAGCAGCTCCTCAGGGGGCACCAGTTCACCCTCCTGCCTATACCTTTCTTGTCCCTTGCTTAGAGCAGGAGGCCTTGAAAATTGGACAGCCATCATGATAGTAAACCAGCTTCTTGAATATGCTCATTTTCAGTTCTTAGAGTGAAAGCCATTTATGAAATTAGGACTGCTGTTCCCAGCTACTCTGGCCTCCCCTATTCAGATTCAGAATGTGACATGCACCAACACCGCAGTGTACTTAAGTGCCTGTTTGAGTGTAAGAAAGGAGCACCTAGAGTTACAGCTACTACCACCAAAAGGGACACTGGAACTAAGAAAACTGCAAGTAGAAGCAGACTGTCAGTTCCAGAACTTGAAGAGTCATTACTTCCCACCATACCTGTGAGCCTGATTTGACAGATGCAGAACATCACAGCATCTCTTAAATCGCAACTTTAGACTCCATTGAAGTTGCTAAGAATGCACACACATGCACTGATTCTGATCAAACTGTACAGGAAGTTTCATAGAAACTGCCTCATGCTACAAAGACAGCTTAAGGTGAATTAAATTGTTTAATCATAACTCTTGAAGTTACCCCTTTAAGTGCTCTCAGGGGAATAAAGTATATTAATATTTGAAGTCAGCTTCTTCGCAACTAAAACCTCTTGCTATTAGGTTAAAAAAATTGAGGAGCACACAGGTGCAGATTTAGACTAGATACTAAACTTTAATAGCTGTGTAAGAAGATGAGCATTAAAGAGTAGAGAATGTGATCCACTCAGTTTGTGCCAGCTGCCTTTCACTATTAGATTTTATGTAAGTATATGGCTAGATCTGCATATAATACTACTTTTACTAGAGAGTTTCACTGAGCAAGAAGCTGCTGGTTAATGAATGCCCCAGTCAGGCATATTTACCCAAGATGCAGCTCTGGGTGAGCAGCTGAAGGCAATAAGACTTGTTTGTTTACCACAATATTTTAATAATAGGCCAAAAGAAATGCAAAAGTGTTAATATAGTTGCATATGTCGCTATCTCATGTATTTGCATGTTAGGGAAGAATACCTACCCATTATTAGTTTTATCCACACATGGAAGAAAAGCAAGTTGTAGTAGCTTGAAAAAAATATGGTAGTGCTTTATCTCGACCGAAATGCTGTTACGCATGTTTCAGGATGCCAAAACTGAAATTAGGTTTAGTGATTCTTTTCGTATCAGATAGTTGAACACCAGATGTCTAACGCAAGGTCTTTATAGTGTCCTTAATATTTTATGGAAGTACTGTGGTAGAGTAGAACACTAGGGCTGTATACTGCGCTTCTGGGGCAGGTTACATCTTTCTGCATTTGCCGTTTAGTTGACTCCTTTTGAAAACCTTGTAGCTGAACAGAGCCACTGTAATCACTACTGCTTATAGGAGCCGATATAATTAACTGTTGTGCAGCACTGGAACAGAACGATGTATTGTCATTGCTCAGTTGCCTTGACCTGAACACAGGTAAAAGTAGGGTGTTGAAGCATTTGAAACTGATAACCGATTGAGTTAATTTTCCCCATAATTGTTCACCATCATTGGCTATCAGCTAAGAAAACAGATACCTCAAAGGTGGCTGCCTGTGGAGAATTCTGTTTTCAGACTTCCAAAAGCTATTAACTTACGAACTCAGACTGCTGCCATGTTTAATTGTGGATTCTAGAGGCATCCAAGCATTGGATTTGAGTTTACTTCTTCACGCTCAGGTGCGCTTTGTCTTACAGAAGTGATTATTAGCATTTTTTATTGTGACCTGATGCATACAATAGCTTGCAGTATATGTCTTTCAGCTCCTGTAACCTGCTGGGCAAAGTGGCAACAGTAAACAGGGAGAGACAGCAGTATGAAGCACTGCAATGCTGTGCTGTTCCTTTCCCTGAAGGAAAATGTTGCAGTGACTTACTACTTTGCTATTTTAAGCATCTTAAAAATGAAGAAAACTGGTCATTAAACATACACACACTGACATGTTGTTGCTTGTGGGCCATGGACCAGAACTACTACTATGTAATTTTATTCTGTGTAAAGCTTGGCTTGTTTTGAAGCCGTAAGAACAGACTTGTACTTGCTATGTACAGTTCTGAGGATCTACATTAGTAATATTTCCTGGCCATTACCTTGGTTTGGAGTAGTGTGTTGTAGATGTCATCACATAACCTAGTTCTGCAGCCTGGGACAGAAGGTTAGAAGCTGTTCTTGCCAACCCTTACTGCCAACTACAGCATGCCTGAGCCTTGGTCAGAATTCTATTCTGCACATTATAGCCAGTCACTGCTTTGCTTACCTTTGAGCATAATGGTGCTACTATTCAACCTACTACATGGTTCTTATGTCCCTGCCACATACAGAAACCCTCCAAAGCTGGCTGTGACTCCAGTGCCAGTCTTCTATGGACAATTGCCAAGTAGAAGCCCATAGCCCAAGTGCGTATTTCACAAGAGAAGCAGAGATGAAGAGCTTAGACTAGCTGTTTTGCTGCTTTGATGTCTGAAGACCTACTAATGTGACATCACTATTTCAACTCTTCAGTTCTCCGTATTCACCCCTACTACCCACTATAATGAGGTGCAGCTAATTTCAGTCCAATGTTCAGCTGTTGCCATGTCATGATGGATGTTCTTCCTATATTAAGGCTTTCAAAAACAAAGACTGAAAGGCCAATTCTGACAGCCTCCAGTTAGAAGGAAGGTCTCTTTGCTGTAACTCTGCCACATTTTGTTCTCCTAAAAGGGGAACATAACAGCAAAGTAATTTTCAGTGTACAGCATAGAAAGTAAGCTTCTCCCCTGCTGGACAGTCTGAGCTCTGAAAAAATACAGTTCTCCTTCATACATACAAACTAGCAGGAGGTTGCTATTTGCAACTATGTTCTGGGCATACATGGCTGGAAACCTATTGCCCCAGAAGGGCATATAGCAGAGCATCAGAATATACTTTTTGAAAAGTTTAGCTTCAGCCTGGTAGTTATGGTTGAATTTTACAGTCCTGTAGTCTAGTCTTACAAGCTTGGTATGTTGATAGATTTCAGTTTTGAGAAGAATTTTTAAATGTATTGTCTTGAGACAATTTATAGATGAAAAAGTGCTTCAGTGCTTATTCACCTAAACATGAATTGTTTGCTTCCTTACTTTACTGTCTTGCCAGGTATTATGAACAGCATCTGCTAATTGTAGTATTCAGTGTCACTTTTGCAATGCAGAATTCATGATACAAGGAAAGATATACTTAAATATAGACATATCATCTGTATCTTAAGTATCATGCTTGGTACTGTGCCTGTAGCATCACTAATGTAAATAGATGTAGTATTTCTAAGAAAAGCTAAAACCTGTTTTCAGTACTACTGTAACCACACATCCCTGCAATAACTACCAGTTTCATCTAAACCCTGTTTTTCTGAGGTTTCTTTTTTTTTTTGACAAGATTGTTTCAAGGCAAAAGCAATATCATGTCTTTGGCTTAAGTTGACAGTTTTGCTAGACTACCCAAGAACAGGTAACAGCTGGGAAAATGAGTGCAAGTTACTCAGCTGCTTGGTTAGTTTGTAGGGTTCTTTCCTCTGATTCTATTCTGGTTATATGAAATTCAAATTGTAGATAAATAATCACGTTTAGAAGTTAATAGGAAGAAATCTGCATGATTGGGATTTGGAATACTATTGAAATACATAGTTTTTACCTTATACCATTATGTATTATGACTTAGACTATTTGAATAACTGTACCTTTGTATGGAGGCACATACAGTATTAAAAGTAACTGGAAATCCTTTGAAGCTTGCAGTGTATCAACTGTTAAATCTTTCTGTTCTCACCAAAAAACTAAAATTGGCAGCAACTTTAAGAATAGGCTCTCAGGAATATAATATTGAAGCTACAGTTGTAGAAAAAGAAGATCTTTGGAGAACGTCACATGCTTGAATTAGTACTGGATTGCTGCACTGCAATAGGTTTACATAACCACTTTTTTATAAGGCAATATTGTCAAGTAAACAGTAGGCAGCCTGCTTTTTCCTGAGGATTTTTTAAATACCAACACTACTTTGGTTTATCCAGTCATTGTATTAACAGTAGCACTTGTAGGCAGCTGTTTTCTCCTAAGGAAATCCAAGAGATCAGTGTTAATATTGATCAATGCACAGGAAGTATACATCAAGGACCCCACTCAAGGAATATCCTTGCAGTATCAAGACACAGATCCAGCCACAACTATGACAGACTGCTCCTGTTCTTATCTCATTTGGTCCATCTGCACCCCTGCCATTCAAAAGGCTGAAACAAACCTACAACCAAGCTTGCTTTCTTAAAATAATTAAAAGCAGCAATACTGGAACTCCAGCATGTCCTCCACTTGCATATTCTTCATAGTATTTCTAATTTGGCACTGTAGTGTCAAGAATAGTTCATTAAACTGTAAATACATTCTGATGTTGTTGTACTTAAACAGCTTTACCCGTTTTCAGCATTCTGCTCTTGGGACAACAAAACGAGAACTCCAGAGATGTATAATGACCAGTAGCATACATTCTGTGTGCAAATAGTATTCCTGCTAGGCAATGCCAGTCTTACCCATTTTGATCCATGAGGAAAACTGGTTATCTGCATTTGCATTGGTTTTACTGTTGAGACATGGTATGTTCCTGATCTGATGATTATGATCATTTTCTTTTTAGAGAGGAGGAGAATGAGGAAGGTCCCTATGCAACTTCTTCGTATCACCAGTAGAAGACAGATGGGATGGCCTGAAAACTTTCCATGAAATCAGTTCTTAAAGAACTAAATGGTCAATATAATTCAAAACCCAAGTCTTTTGGACTCATCATCTTGATGTGCTTAAAACAAGTCATGAATGGGTAATTGCACTGAAATTATGACCTCTTCTGCCTTCCATAGGTTAATGTCCTTATGCTCTATCAACAAAGGGTTTAAGCCTTCCAAAACTAGCAATGGCCTTTATACCCCTTCTGTGCAAACTGTAGCATGGTAGCAACAATATATCCTTGAGGTCACCTTTATGCAGGATGTTGATCTTTAGTAAAGATTTTGTAAATACTTGTTAAAGTGAAATTTGTTTTCAGTATTTAAAAATAAGTTTGCTTGTAAATGACAAACTATGAACATAATAGACATTTACTCATTCTGCAAACACAAGCAATTTTGCTGTGGAAGTTTTGTCTGCTTCAGGGCTGCAGAGCTTGCCTCTGAACTCTGTGTGTGTGTCTGTGTGTGGTTATGATGTATTGCTAGAAAGGGGAATTCAACTTGTTTTGATTAGTTAAAGCCTTTATGGTTAAACAACTATTTGCAAATTGGATTTCTGCTAAAAGGGAAGACTTAACAGCAAGAGATTTTTCTTTGTGAGATATGACATTGGAATATCAGATGTGTGTTCTGTGCAATTATATTTTGTGCGGTTTTAATTTAATAAATACAAAAATATCAATGTGTCTCTTCATAATGAAGTCAGCCTCGTTCTAGTCTGGTTTTTGAAGAATGGTTTGTTTAGTCACGTGAGCTATTAGATGATAATTTCAGGGCAAATAATGTCCTTTACCATATAGCTCACCCTCCTAAATGAGGCCTGTGAGAACTATTTGATCTAGTTGTGCAGTCAAGCAAACTGTATTAAGATTAATAGGAGCCACAGTGGTAAGCCTTCACTGTTCTGAGAAGAGGTGCCAGTATGCAAGTCTGCAGGTGGACTCCACCTGAAGTTCAGGAAGGCAGAGTGCAGACTGCATTCACTCTTTGCCCTGAAGTTAACATATTAGCAAGTTCTTGTCAAGCATCCTACAACTTTTCCTCAAGTATTCAATAAACTTCACAAAACTTTTGTCATTAAAGACTTGACAGATCCCCACTGTGACAGATGCTGTTTCCTATATATCAGCTTATTTATATAGTTTATTGCTACCTCAAAGCAAAGACTGTCTGTAATGTTAGGATGGAAGCAATATAGGGTGTTACATTAATTTACTAAAACTAGAAATAAAAATTCAAAGCTAGACAGGAACTGGTATTTCCCTCGAGCTTGCAGGAACTCAGATACCCCAGGCTCATTGAAATCATCTCTAGCTCTGGTCCTAAAGAGGAGGTCTGCAGTGGCACACAAGTTAATAAGAACAAGGAAAGCTTAGAGTGAATAAAAGGAAGCATTGATTTTTTTCTTGATGAGACTAGTGAATTAATTTTAGGTCTTGTATCTTTCTATAATTGGAATTTGTATCTTTCTTACAGGATAGTAATTTCTATTGTTGTCAGCTAATTTCCGTAGGACCTTACCAGAGCCAGAATAAACTACTTTTCCAAAGGCAACCCCAGCTTCAAGCTGAGTTATATTTTACAGTCCTACAGAACAATTTAATCCTTTTCTACTAAAGGCCTGCTACTGTAATACCCTCCCCTACACAGCACCCAGGACCAGGGTGCTTTGCAGAGCAGGTCGGACGCACAGCTTCCCTTGCCCAGCAGGCACCCCTCCTGCCAGCCGCACAAGCCTGGCCAAGCTCCTGACAGAGCCATGTTTCACTCCATCCTTCCCAAGAGCGCTGCTGTACTCATGGGCCAGAGGACTTTGAGGACAAGCAACAGAAGATCGGTAACACCATTTACATCTACTGTTCCTGACTGAGAAGGCCACACAGAGGCCAAGGGAAGAAGCAGCTGGGCCAGCCTGGAGACATGGCTAGGCAGAGACCCACCACCCCACAGTCTTAGATTTCAGCCCAGGCCAGCAGCACCCTGATTGACCCACAGCATCTCTGGAAACCCCACCACACCAGCACTCAACATGGCACCACTGCAAAACCATTAGCATAGCCCAGTAGAGACACAACCCATCTGTTCCACACAAACATTTCCCACAGGGAGGATTTCAACGCTACCG